TCTCTTGCTGCTGGGTTTTGTTGGTAGTATATAGAAATGCAGATGGTTACGTGGGTTTATTTTATATCATGCAACTTTGCTGAAGTTGCTTCAACTAGTTTTTTTAGTTGATTCTCTTATATTCTCTCTCCCTTTTTTTTTTTAACCTAGGCAATTGAGGTTAAGTGACTTGCCTAGGGTCACACAGCTAGTAAGTGTCAAGTGTCTGGTCTGAGACTGGATTTGAACTCAGGTCCTTCTGACTCCAGGGCCTGTGCTCTATCCACTGTGCCACCTGGCTACCCCGTCTTCTATTCTCTAAGTATACATCACATCATCTGCAAAGAGTGATTGTTTTGTCATTGTGTATTTTTAATTCCTTCAGTTTCTTTTTCTTGTCTTATCATTATAGCTAGCATTTCTAGTACATTACTGAATAATAATGATAATGAACATCCTTGCTTCACTCCTGATCTTACTGGAAAGGCTTCAAATTTATTCCTGTTAAAGATAATGCTTGCTCCTGGTTTTAGATAAATACTACTTATTTTAATAAAAGTTCCATTGATTCCTATGCTTTCTAGAGTTTTTAATAGGAATGAGTATTGGATTTTGTCAAAATTTTTTCAGCGTCAATTGATAGAATCATGATTTTTGTTGTTTTTGTTATTGATATGGTCAATTATTGATGGCTTTCCTAATATTGAGCCAGCCCTGCTGCCTTCCTGGTATAAATTCCTGGTCATAGTACATGATCTTTGTGATATATTGCTGTAATTTCCTTGCTAGTATTTTATTTAAAAATTTTCATTGATGTTTATTAGGGAAATTGGTCTATAGTTTTCTTTCTGTTTTTGCTTTCCCTGATTTAGGTATCAAAATTATATTTGTGCCATAAAAGGAACTTGGTAGGACTCTGTCTTTGCCTATTTTTTCAAATAGTTTATATAGCATTGGGATTGTTCCTAAAGGTTTGGTAGAATTCACTTGTAAATCCACTTGGTCCTGGGAATTTTTTCGTAGACAGCTCATTGACGGTTTCAGTTTTTTTGTAAGATTCTATTTCCTCTGTTAATCTGGGCTTATATTTTTGTAAATATTCATCCATTTCATCTAGATTATCAGTTTTACTGGCATATAATTGGGCAAAATAACTCCTAATAATTGCTTTAATTTCATCTTCATTACTGGCACATTTGCCCTTTTCATTTTTGATAGTGATAATTTGGTTTTCTTTTGTTTGTTTGTTTTAAATAAAATTAACCAATGGTTTATGTATTTTATTGTTTTTTTCATAAAACCAGCTCCTAGTTTTGTTTATTACTTTGATTTTTTTTTTTACTTTCAATTTTATTAATCTCTGATGTTGAGGTGTTCCATTTTGGTGTTTAATTGGAAATTTTAAATTTGTTACTTTTTCTAGCTTTTTTTTAGATGCATGCCCAGTTTGTTGATCTGCTCTTTCTTTCACACATTCTTTTCAAAAAGTTTTTTAATTTATTACTTATTTATTCTTAACATTGTTTTGTTTTTAAATTTTGAGTTCCAACTTCTCTCTCTTCTCCACCCCCCCCACCCCAGCCACTGAGAAGGCAAATCAATTATATGTGTGAAATCATGCAAAACATTTCCACATTAGTCATATTTCCAAACAAAGAAAAATACAGTAAGAAAATTATGCTTCAATTTGCACTCAGAGTTCTTCAATTCTTTCTCTGGAGGTGAAGAGCATTCTTTTCATTATAAGTCCTTTGGAATTGTCTTGGATCATTGCATTGTTCAGAGTGGCCAAGTCTTTCACACTTGATCATCATTACAACTTTGCTGTCACTCTGCACAATGATTTCCCGGTTCTTTTTACTTCGCTTTGTGTCAATTCATATAGGTCTTTTATTAGATGACCTCTAGAATCATTGAATCTTAGAGTTGAAAGGGAAAATAGAAGTTATCTAATCCAACTTTTTTTCACTTTTGAGGTTGGTTTCCCTGCCACAAACCTCTTCCCACTCTAATCCATCCTCCACTTATCTTTCAAATTGACTTTCCTTGAAGTACAGATCTGACCCTATCACCCATGGCTCCCAATTACCTTCAGGATCAAATATAAAATACAGTTTGGCTTTCAAAACTCTTTGTAACCTAAACTCCTTCCTACCTTTCCAATCTTCTTATCCCTTACTTTGTTCCAAGGAATCTGCCATCCAGTGACACTGGCCTCCTTCCTCACGATAGACCCACCACTGCCCAACTCTGAATGTTTTCACTGACTGTCCTTCATACCTAGAATTCTCTCCTTCCTCATCTCTGTCACCTAGGCTCCCTGGCTTTGTCAAGCCTAAGCTTAAGTCTCACCATTGGCAAGAAGCCTTTCCTGGTCTTCCTTAACCTTAGTGCCTTCCATCTGGGATTAACCCATTTCTCCTGTAAGAATCTCTTTTTTGGGGGGCATCTAGGTGGCACAGTGGATAAAGCATTGGCCCTAGAGTCAGGAGGACCTGAGTCCAAATCTGGCCTCAGACACTTGACACTTACTAGCTGTGTGACCCTGAGCAAGGCACTTAACCCCAAGGCCTACCCCCCCCCAAAAAAAGAATCTGGTTTTTACAGAGTTGTTTCATGTTGTCTCCCCCTTTAGATGGTGAGCCCCTTGAGAGCAGAGACTGTTTTTCACCTTTCTTCATATCCCCAGTTCTTAGCACAGTGCCTGGCATATGATAGGTGCTTAATAAATGTTAACTGACTGACTGATTTTTAAAAAGAAGCTTTAGAAAAAGCAGGATCTTGACCCAGCAATAAATAGCACTTGTAGGGCTTTATCTCAAAGAGATCATACAAATGGGAAAAGGACCCACATGTACAAAAATATTTATAGCAGCTCTTTTTGTGGTGGCAAAGAATTGGAAATTGAGAGGATGCCCATCAGTTGAGGAATGGCTGAACAAGTTGTGGTATATGAATGTAATGGAATACTATTGTGCTATAAGAAATGATGAACAGGCAGACTTCAGAAAAACCTGGAAAGACTTGTCTGGTCTGATGGTGAGTGAAGTGAGCAGAACCAGGAGAATGTTGTACACAGTAACAGCCAGGTTGTGAGATGACTAATATTGATAGACTTAACCCCCCTTAGCAATACAAGGATCTAAGACATCTCCAAAGGCTTCATGATGGAAAATGCTATCCACAAAGAAGAAGGGATTATGGAGTTTGAATGCAGATTGAAGCATACTATTTGTATTTTTTTTTCTTCTGTTATGTTTTGTTTCCTCTTTCTGGTGGTTCCTCCTATTGGTTCTAATTCTTACTTACAATATCACTAATGTGAAAACATGTTTCATAGGAATGTGTGTATATATATATGTATATGTATATATATAGCCTATATCAGATTGTGCGCTGTCTTGGGGAAGAAGGTGGGGAAGGAGGGGGAGAAAAATTTAAAACTCAAAAGCTTATGGAAGTGATTGTTGATAAATCAAAATAAATTAATTAAAAAAAAAAGAAAAGAAAAAGAAGGATCTAGGCTTGCCTTTTTGGAAAGTCCTTGGGGCTCCTAAGCCTGACTTAACCCTCACTGCAAACAGATGAAGTTTCTTCCACTGACACTTCCCTACACAAGTGAAATCAACAGATTTAGTCCCTCTTGGGTCCCTAGGCCCCTACCCAGTCATAAGGAGCCATAATCTCCTTTTGAGCCATAATTTGCCTCCCTTCAACTTCTACCTACTGACCCCAGTTTGATCTGCAGCACATGAGTGAGTAAATTGTGTTGGACTTGAGTTCCCTGGAGGCAAGCACTGTGTTTTCCTCTTCTTTCGGTCTGCCTAGGATGAGAGCTAAGACTCTATGTGCAGAGTGGGCATGTGAATGGTACTGACTGACTTGGCTGCCTTTGCTGTCATCAAGACGGGAACACATTGAGATTTGAGTAGCTTGATCTCTTGTGGGATCAAACCCTCCTGCTCCTTCATCTAATCTTCTAGGACTCCTAACCCTCCTTGTGCCTATGTGCTGCATCCCCTCCTTTGTCTCCCTCCCCTTAGGCTTGGGCAACAGGCTAAAACCTCTTTGTGTGCTTAAAGAACACCCAGAAGGTGGGACCCTCCAGGACACATCTAATCTTCATTTTGGGCAGTGGGTGAGAGTTACCTGATACAGTCCCCCAGTCCTAATCAGGTCCCCATTGACTCATGTCATTTTAGGCCAGGTCTTCGGCTAGAGTATTTCTATACAAAAGCCCTCAGGGAGCCTGTGGGATTGGAATGTCTGTGTTTTCTGAGCCAGAATTTGCAGTTCCTCCTTCCCTTCCACATACTCCCTTCTCAGGCCTCTCATTCCTTGGGTGGGAACTCAGAAAACATTCTTCTGAGGCTAGACAGTGTCTTTTCTCAAAGTAGGCAGAGAGCAAGAGGTGTTTCCCTAGAAGCCCTTCTCATATGCTTCCTCAGAGCTCCGATCCCCATCCAGTCCTCGTCCTACCCGGGGACTAGATCCAAGATGTGGCTGGACCCACGCTAAGCTGTGGAAGAAAACCTTACACCTCCTACAGGCAGAACACAAGAGGAGCCAGTAGGAATGGGAGAGTGGTGTGTGGAGACCCTGTGGGGGTGCTGGGACAAAGGTGGGCCATAGGGAAGAAGGGAAGGGCCAACATCATTGCTACAGAGATGTGAATCAAGGCCCAGAGCACAGCAGCCTTCTTCAATCCTGTTCTTGAGCATCTCTACTGGAGCATGACCACCAGACACTGGGTCTCATGGATCCCATCTCACCCCCAATACTGGCTGCCCAAGATGCTTTCAACTATAGAAGTGCCCGACGGTGCCATTGAAACCCCTTTGTGATGTGCTCACTAGATAATGGAAATCCAGATAATTAAAAAAAACTATTGGAGTTAAACCAATATCTTCTTCACCTTTGCTGTCTGCCCTGGAAACTGGATCTTAGAGACCATGTTTTCCAGGGATTGTTAACCTGGGGTCCGTGTATGCCATAGATTTCCAAAGATCTGAGAACTTGGATGAAAAAAAAATGACATCTTTATTTTCATGAATTGAAATTAAATACACTTCAGTTATGGTTATTTGAAAATATTACTCTGAGAAGGGGTCCATGGGCTTTACCAGCCTGCCAAGATTCCACGACACAAAAAAAGCTTAAGAACCCCTGATCTAGTCAATTTTCTCATTTCATAGGTGGATTGGATACAGGGGACAGACAAGAGTAGAGAGTTGATATATTGACATTATCTCTTGCTCCAGTGAAGCTCTGAGGAGTTTTTGGCAATCCTATTCACTGACCCCAGGAAAGGTCTGTGCTTGGCTCACATAGAGAGAGCTTCCCTTAGCCCAGCCCCCTCTACACTTCCCTCCTTTACCCTAACGACCCAGTGATCTACAAAGAGCAGCTCCCAAATCAGGACAAATAGCACCAGTACTTGCAGACCGCCCACCTGGTTGTCATGGAAACGGATTCAAATTTACTTAGGAGAGTAAAGTTAGGAGCGTCCTCCCTTCTCCTAACGGGTGCCAACATCCAAGTCTCCTCATCTAAATCAGAATAGTCTAAACCCCATTTCTTCTTCTGTCTTGACCCCAGAGTACCCCTCCCCCTGCCTTTGATCAGACTCAATCAGGCCATGGGGCTGGGCCAGGGCTGGGGCCTTGCTGGCTAGCAGCTTGGCAGAGAGGCTGGGGCCATAAGGGAACTTGGACCCTCCCCTCTGAGAGTACAAAGTGGGCGGGGCAGCGGGGGGGGGAGGAAGGTGAGGCTGTGCCAGGGGAATGTTTCCACAGATTAGCACTGGCAGGGGTGCAGAGAGCAGGGCAGCGGTGGAAGGAACAGGCCTGCAGGAGGGAGCAAAACTCCAGGCCAAGTGGGAGGGAGGGAGGGCAGCCCAAGGACAGGAGGCCCTTCTCCCTCCCTACTCCAAGAATTAGGCCTCACTCAGGTTCTGGGCTGCTCTCTGTTCCTACTGACCCTCCCCACTTTGGGTGTCCTCCGGCCAGAGCCAGGCTTTTGTTTCTCCAGTAAGTGACCAGAGGCAGAGCCCTCATCAGCAGGGACTGAGCTGCTGGGTACTGATCACTTTATTTCATCTCACTTTAGTTTGTCCTGTTTCATATTTGGGTTCCTCCCAGCACAAGGGGGAGAGGAAGAGGGAAAGGGAGGGAGAGAGGGAAACAAGGGAGGGAGAGAGGGAAACAAGAGAGGGAGGAAAGTACATGAGATGGCCAGAAACTAGGGATCCTAGGGTCAGAGCAATAGAAGAAAGGATGTAATAGAAGTAGTTGTGTATGGAGAGTTAAGTAATAATGCCTACAAATGAAAGTCTTCACTAGGAAAAAAAAAATTGACTATGAGCCTGATATCCCAGGCCTGAAAGTCAGCAATGGGACCTGGGAGAGGCATGCTTCGTGATGGTAGGGGGTGAGTAAAGAGATCTTGGGGATTAAGCTAAAGCTGCTTATATTCATCCTTCCCCCGCCCCCCATCCCATCACTGAACCCCTGCTTATGGACAAGTCTGCGGTTGAGGCAGGAAGGCAGGCAGGGTGCTGCTTCATGGATTACTCCAAAAGTCTATAAAATCATGTGCATTTCTTCTTCCAGAGGCTGTCCACTTTAGAGGAGGGCTTAGTATCTCCCAGGGCAGATAGTTGGAGATAATCACCATCCTTTCACAGCTCATGTACATGAGGTTCGGGAACCTTCTCGGTATCTGCATTCTGGATCAGTTCAAACAGAAACATCACCTGGTTCTCATAGGCTTTGATGGAGATCCTCTCGTTTAAGCCATGAAAACTGTGAAAGAGAAATTGGCAGAGGGGCCTTATTACTATAGTATCTGCTCTGACACAAGCAGTACAGAGCCCCCTTGAGGCTACCAGTCTCCAATCCTGCGGAAGCAGGAGGGGCACCAGGAAGGAACTCATTCTAAGGAGGATAGCTCAATATACATAAGATTATGATCACTTCTCAATGATTCCACTCCTAGATTTTTCTTTCAAACTTCAAGTTATATTTAGAAGACATGTTCATTTGTAATATTAAAACATTCCAACAAGGGAAACATTTTACAGTTACCTATCAACATTCATTGAAAACGATCTACAATTTGTATTATTTAACCAATTATAGAAAAGCCATAAACAATATTAATCCAATCCAATCCAATCCAATCCAATATGCAAATTGCTATTGCTGGGTTATCAAATTTTCAACCATAAACAGTATAAAGTCAGCCATAGTAAGGTGAGGCACTTTAGTAATGACACCTGAAAGGCTGATAAATATAAGAAGCCATAGGAGAAATAGTTTTTAACATTTAACTTAACATCTTGCCCTAGATTTCAGAAGTAATTTCACAGAACTTCAAGGTGATCCTTGCTGCCCTGTCCCCTTCTCTGCATTTTGCTCTCCTGTGGGAAGACTCCCCTGCATTCCTTCGGAACTAGGTATACCCACCCTCAAATCCCTCTCCTTCTTCTGGACAGCTCAAGCCGTGAAGAAAATAACTAATTTTGCAGAAAGTCTGGGGAAGTCAGTTATAGACAAATATTCCAATAAATTTGCATGATCTGAGTCTACCTTGACTGATGGGAGGAGACCTGCCAAAAGTGTGCAGGGAGTCAGTGGGGTCTGAAATCCTGGGATTAATTTTCTGAATAACCTATAGGTAATTAACTGAGAGTTGTCAATCATCTCTTAGAATTCATAGTATATTTTCTCCTAAGAACTCAAAGCATTTCCCTCTCTTTTGATCTTTCATTCCTATCCCAGTGAAGTGGGAAAGAATAGAAAACTTCCTTTTGGTGATAGAGACTGAGATGCAGAGCATTTATATAATCCAGCTCTTCATGGATTAAAACCAAGATTGATATTAGACCTCAAGAGTTTTGATTTTTGGGGCTCTCTTTACTCAACTTACATGCACATAAGTAAGACGCTTTATTAGGAATAGTTTTTATTCATTTTTATATTCCCTACAGTGATTAACATACAGAAGGATCACAAATTCTATGCAAAATGATTCACCTTTCTGAGTATTGCTGACTTTAGGGAATCATAGATTTAGATGTGGAAGGAATGACTTACCTAAGGTTACCAGGGGCTAATCTGTGATTTGAACCTAGGTCTTATGCCTCCAAATCCAGCATGTTCTTAACTTTCCCACAGTATTCAATAAATGTTTGGTAAATGAGCGCATCAGTAAATGATTTTCTTTACAAGAGAATTTAAGTGTCAATGTTAGAAAATGCTGGAAGGGAGAAGACCCTGGCACAGAGGGCAATTAGTTGGGTTTATCCAGATTTCCAGTTTTCCTTTATAAGACTTGATACTCTTTTATTCCATAAAGAGGGTGGGGTGGTCAATCCATTAACCTACTGCCTCATTCTCCTCCACTCACCTCTTGAAGCTCTCTGGGTTCATAGGTACAGGGTTAAATCGATAGAGGCCTGTGGAGATGTTACTGTAGAGGCGGACATCAGTGTTGCCAATACAAATTCCTAGGGGAAGAGAGACAATAGGGATAGCAGTCAGGCAGGGACCTACCATAGGGCTATGCCTAGAATTTAGGAGCCTGTGACCAGGCCAGATTCCTTAGCCACTCTCCTATCTCCCATTTCCATGTTTCATACAATTTCTTTCCAAATAGGGGGCTGTGAATTTTATATATATATATGTATGTATGTATGCATACACATATACATATATAGAGAGAGTGACAGAGAGACAGAGAGAGAACTATTTCAGTGACTTGTCCAGGGTCACACAGTTAATAAGTTTCAAGTGCCTGAGGTCAGATTTGAACTGAATCCAGGGCCAGTTCTCTATCCACTGTGCTATCTAGTTGCTCCTAAAAAATATTATTTTGAAAGGGTCCCTAGGTATCACCAGCCTGTCAAGAAGATCCATTATACCAGAAAAGGTTGACTCCTGCTCTACTTGAGCCAATGTGAACACCTTGCTATGCTTTGTACCACTTTCCGCCCGCCACCTTTCTCCCACGTTTCTACCTTGAACCTTTGCTCTTCCCTATGTCTAGCCTCTACCCTTTGCAATTTCTCAGCTACTTCTTTTCCATCCTTTAAAGCCCAACTCAGACAACCTCTGTAAGGTTGTCTATTCTGATCCCCTAGGACGTAATGACCTCTTTTTCCTCACAACTTACCTTGTTCACATCTCTCTCTTTTTCCGGTCAATAATATTTTATTTTTTTCCTCAATTGCATGTGAAAACAATTTTTAACATCCATTTTAAAAAATCTTGAGTTCCAAATTCTCTCCCTCCCTTCCCCCTCCCTGAAACAATTGATACAGGTTATACAATCACACCTCTCTTATGCACTTATCATGTACCATTTACAAATTACATTACATTACATTACAACTACTAGACTATAAGCTCTGTGAGGACAGGGATCTTGTCTTATGTAAACTTTGTATCTCTCAAGGGTAGGCATGATGCTCTGTAGCTATTTAAGAAATGTTTTGGGAGGCGGAGCCAAGATGGTGGAGTAAAAGAAGTGACCTGCTTGAGCTCTCCCCCAAACCTCTCCAAATACCTGTAAAAAATGGTTCTAAACAAATTCTAGAGCAACAGAACCCACAAAAAGAGAGAGTGAAACAAATTTCCAGCCCAAGACACCCAGGATGATTGATTGGAAAGGTCTACTGTTCCAGGCTGGGAGAGGAGTGCAGTTCAGCATGTGCCATGCAGGCAAAGACCAGGCTTAGTGAACCTGGAGCAGTCCTCAGGGGACTGAATCACGGGCAGCTGTGGCGCTTTCCAGACTTCTCAACCCACAAACACCAAAGACAACTCAGAAAGTCAGTAGGAAAGGTCTGTGGACCATGGTGAGAGAGAAGTTCAATCTGGCCCCAGACTTGGCGCAGGCCCAGGGCGGTAGCTGCTACCAGAGCTCTTGGCCTATAGATGGTGGGGGCACTGAGTGGCTGATCAGAGGGGGACTGCAAGAATCTCTTTGCTGCTGCTGAGGCAGGATTCTCTTGCTTTGTCCATGCTTGGATCTAGGTTGAAGTTCTGGGTGGCGGTCCTGGGATGAAACAAGTGTGGTGGAGCTTGTAGTGGTGGTGGAGCTTGTAGTAGCAGATGGAATCCTCTACATAGTTCCAAGGCAGAAAAGAGTGCTTGTGGTCACTCATAGACCACAGCACAGGCCAGGAAAGGAGTGAACTGAAAATTTATAGGTTCCTAGAAGTATCTCTGAAAACAAGTGCCCCAAACCCCTGAAGCTTGGGACAGTACATTCTCCACACTGGAAGCAGACTCCTACCTTAACAAAGAGTTTATAACTCAAATAACTGTCTGGGAAAATGAGCAAACCTCACAAGAAGTGACAGACCATAGAATCTTACTTTGGTGAAAAAGAAGATCAAAACATACAACCAGAAGAAGACAACAAAGTCAAAGCTCCTACATCCAAAGCCTCCAAGAAAAATATGAATCAGTCTTAGGCCATAGAAGAGCTCAAAAAGGATTTTGAGAAGCAAGTGAGAGAAGTAGAGGAAAAACTGGGAAGAGAAATGAGAGTGATGCAAGAAAATCATAAAAAGTCAACATGCTAAAGGAGACCCAAAAAATACTGAAGAAAATAACACCTTAAAAAATAGCCTAACCCAAATGGCAAAAGAGGTCCAAAAAGCCAATGAGAAGAATGCCTTAAAAAGAAATTGGCCAAATGGAAAAAGAAATCCAAAAACTCACTGAAGAAAATACTTCCTTAAAAATTAGAATGGAGCAAATGGAAGCTAATGATCTTTTTGAGAAATCAAGACATTATAAAACAAAACCAAAAGAATGAAAAAATAGAAGACAATGTGAAATATCTCACTGGAAAAACAACTGACCTGGAAAATAGATCCAGGAGAGATAATTTAAAAATTATTGGACTCTGAAAGCCATGATCAAAAAAGAGCCTAGACATCATCTTCAAGAAATTATCAAGGAAAACTGCCCTGATATTCTAGAACCAGAGGGTAAAATAGAAATGGAAATAATCCACCAATCACCTCCTGAAAGAGATCTCCAAAGGAAAACTCCTAGGAATATTATGGCCAAATTCCAGAGTTCCCAGGTCAAGGAGAAAATATTGTAGGCAGCCATAAAGAAATAATTCAAGTATTGTGGAAACACAATCACAATGACACAAGATTTAGCAGCTTCTACATTAGGGGATTGGAGGGCTTGGAATATAATATTCTGGAGGTCAAAGGAGCTAGGATTACAACCAGGAATCGCTTGCCCAGCAAAACTGAGTATAATCCTTCAGGAAAAAAAAATGGATATTCAGTGAAATAGAGTACTTTCAAGCATTCCTAATAAAAAGACCAGAGCTGAATAGAAAATTTGACTTTCAAATACAAGACTCAAGAAGCATGAAAAGGTAAACAGGAAAGAGAAATCATAAGGGACTTATTAAAGTTGAACTGTTTACATTCCTACATGGAAAGGTGATATATATAACTCATGAGATCTTTGTTAGTATTAGGGTAGTTGGAGGGGGGAATATATATATATATATAAATATATATATATATAATAATAATATATATATATATATATATATGGCACAGGGTGGGTTGAAGATGAAGGGGTGATATCTAAAAAATAAAATTAAGGGGTGAGAGAGGATTATATTGGGAGAAGGAGAAAGGGAGAGGTAGAATGGGGTAAATTATCTCACATAAAACAAATAAGAAAAAGCTTTTACAGTGGAGAGGAAGATGGGGGAGGTGAAAAGGAATGAGTGAACCTTACTCTCATAAGATTTGGCTTAAGGAGGGAATAACATATACACTCAATTGGGTATGGAAATCTATCTTACCAGGGAGTGCAGATTGGGGGAGGGGGTAATCAGAAGCAAACACTTCTGAGGAGGGACAGAGTCAAAAGAGAGAATAGAATAAAGGGGGGGGAGTGGGATAAGATTAAGGGAGTGTTGTTTTTCACAACATGACTACTATGGAAGTGTTTTGCATGATTACACATATATAACCTGTATCAAGTTGCTTGCCTTCTCAATGATGGTAAGTGGGGAGGGAGGAAGGGAGAGAATTTGGAGCCCAAAGTTTTAAAAAGTTAAAAATTGTTTTTACATGCAACTGGGAAGTAAGATATACAGGCAATGGGGTATAGAAATCTATTCTGCCCTACAGTAAAATAGAAGGGGAAGGAGATAAGAGAAGGAGGAGGGCGATAGAAGGGAGGGGGGTTGGGTGGGGCAAGATGGGGAGAAAATTTGGAACTCAAAATCTTGTGGAAGTGAATGTTAAAAACTAAAAATAAATAAATTAATAAAAATATAAAAAAAGATTAAAAAAAGAAATGTTTTGTCAAACAGAACTGCAGATTTTCTTGAAGACCATTAAAGTAAGGTGCTAGTTGGCAAAGTGGATAGAGGGCTGGACCTGGAGTTGAGAAGACCTAAGGTTAAATCCAGGCTCAGACACTCCTAGTTATAGCTGTTGTTGAAAAGCTAAGTCGGCTTCATTCTCCCTAAATGTTGGGGGTGAGGGGGAAGAAAGGAAGGTTGACAACCACTTGAATGTCTCAGATTTAGGACAGATCTACTTGCTATCTCAGCTAGAGTAGTTTGTGCGGACCTCCCCTCTTCCAACAACTCTTTTTGAAGACTACTATTGCTAAGAGTTGCAAAATCAACTCAGAAAGAGGATGGGGAATTTCCTGGTAGTCCCATTCTTGGCATCCCCTTGGAGAGGAAGCCCAATTCAAATGCAACTTCCTCCTTGAAACTTCCCTCATTTCCATTGGTCACACAGCACTTCATTCTGTATATAATGTTGTATTTTAATGTATTTTTAAATTTTTTTTAAGGCAATTGGGGTTAAGTGACTTGCCCAGGGTCCCACAGCTAGTAAGTGTCAAGTGTTTGGTCTGATACCAGATTTGAACTCAGGTCCTCCTGGCTTCAGGGCCGGTGCTCTATCCACTGTGCCCCTAGCTGCCCCTTCTAGTGAGTTTTTGCATTGGACTTTGGATTTCATTTACGTAGGGAATTCTCAGTGAGGTCGTCTGAGGTCATCTTCTTTAACATCACAGATTTTCATATAACTGGCAACTCAAAGTCTCAGAGAGTTTCCTGGAACAAGGAGAGGTTAAGTGACTTGCCAGGTTTGTGAAGTGAACCAAATGTGCCAGAGCTGAGATTCAACCTACTTTTTCCTGACTGTGAAGCCTGCTATCAATCCCCTACACTGTATGTACAAAATGCTTTAAAGTCTTCCAAGTGTGTGACATATCGTCATAATCCTCTAAGGTGAATAATATAGATATTCTTATCTCCATTTTGTAGATGAGGAAACTGAGACCCAGTAAGTTCAAGTGATTTTCCCATAGTCACATTAGTTGTATCAGATGTGAGATTTCCAATACCCTATGCCATATTTTTTCTATCAGAATTATTTGTGTTTGTGTCCCCTCTGCCAGCCATCAAGTTCTGTGGGGGCAGGGAGCAGATCTGATCTAAAAAGTTTGTACCTTCCCTAGCACCAAGCATAGAGCTCTGCATACAGTAGGCACTTACTAAAGAAGTTCTGACTTCATGTTAAATTTTGATGGCACTTTGTGACCCAAGTGTCTTTGCTTTGAATCAAAAGAGGTGGAAGAAGGAAACATAGGTGGGGATGGTCTAGGTTTTGGATTTTGGTCAGGGTAAATGGGATAGAATTTCAAACCTAGCTGCAAGGTTAACCTAGCTGTTAATCCTGGCGGGGACTGACACTCAGGCTGAGAAAGGATTGCTCCCCAACTCAAGTAAAACTAGTTCTCCCCCTCTCTCACCTCCAGAATGGCTGGTGGGATTTATTGTTTCTGTCTCTTTCCTGTTTGCTTTCTTCCTTCCACTCTGATAGGAGAAAACAGTTATAGATGAAAGATCCAGCTGGGCCAGGGGAGGAAGGGAGGAAGGCAGGCAGCTGTTTCCAGGCATAAACAGCTGGAGTAAGGGTGAGGGGAAAAGGAAGTCAGATAGGAAACCATTCCTGGCCACTTTTCCAAGTGGTCACCCCTTGTGAAGTCATTACCTGGGACAACTACGGAGACCTCTGGGAAGACATCTCTGATGGTCCTTCTGAGAAGCTGGTAGCCAAAGGCTTCATGGTCATAGGGGCTCAACGGGAGAGGGTTAAAGGCATTGAGCACTTGATACTGGACTCGGTCATCAGCCACAATATTCTGGACAATCTCTAGCACCTTTGGAAGGAAACACAATGGAATTAGGACTTCCACTAAGCACCCTGGAATCCAAACAGTACTGGTCTTTTAGCTTCCAAAAGAGTGAGTCAATCATTCAATCAGCAACCATTTGTTAAAAAAAATTGTGAAATGCCAACTCTGCCAGGCACGTGGTGATACAAAGACAAAAACTGAAATGGACTTTGCTGTAAAAGAGCTTCCATTCTAACAGAATTGGAGCCCTGGGAGGTAGGTGCCAAAGATCAACAGGGATTGGGTTTCTGTGCGTGACTCAGTAGGTGCCTACTATGCAGTAGGTACTGTACTAAGAGCTGGGGATACAGAGAGGCAAAAGACAGTATTTGCCCTCCAGGCACTCAGTCTAATGGAGGAGACAACATGCAAACAACTATGTGCAAACAAGATATATGTGTGTGTATATATGCATATATGTATATATATATGTATGTATATAAATCAATTGGGGGTAGTCTCAGAAGGAAGGCAACAGCATTAAGGACTACAGTAGAAAGGCTTCTCATAGAAGATGAGATTTGAACTGGGACTCGAAAGACACTAGAAAAGCATGAGGCAGAGATGAGAGGGAGAGAATCCAGGCATGGGAGGGCAGCCAGGGAAAATACCCAGAATAGCACCAGCTGATTACTTCCAGGGGATGGAAAAATTATTAGGTACTTATGGTTCACAACCTCAGCAAGAAGGGCTAGAACTTGGTAGGTTTAAGTGAGATGCAAGAAATAATTCTCTCAGGGGCAGCTAGGTGGTGCAGTGGATAGAACTCCAGCCTTGGAATCAGGAGGACCTGAGTTCAAATGTGGCCTCAGACACTTGACACTTACTAGCTGTGTGACCTGGGCAAGTCACTTAACCCCAATTGCCTCACCAAAAAAAAAAAAACCCAAAAACTCCCTCATGTAGCTTACCACTAAGAAGTAAGACCCAGGCAGCTGAATGGATCAATTTCCAGGGCCCTAATTTCATGACCACAAGAGAAGAGGGGAATGGAAACTGAGGAATCTTAGAATTATAGAGTTGGACCAGACCTCACACGTCTTCATAAGCAGACCAACCCATAAGCAGACATGAATCATCTTTATAAGATCTCTCTTTCTCTCTCTCTCTTTTTGTCAATCAGGGTTAAGTGACTTGCCCGGGGTCACATAGCTGGTAAGTGTTTGAGGCTGGATTTGAACTCAGGTCTTCCTGACTCCAGGGCCATTGCTCTATCCACTGTGCCACCTACCTGTTCCATTTTTATAAGATCTTTGACCACTAATTATTCAGCTTCTGCTTGTAGATGTCCTGTAATGGGGAACTGCTATGCTTACATATAGCACCTGGACATCCCAGTTGACTTAATAACAACAACTAATATTTATATAGCATGTACTATATGTCAAGCAACGTTCTAAGTGCTGTACATTATTATTCCATTTGATCTTCATAACAACCCTGAGGAGTGGGTGTTATTATTATCCCCATTTTATAGACAAGGAAACTGAGGGGTTGAATGACCACAAGCTGGTAAGTATCTGAGACTGGATTTAAACTCAGGTCTATTCTAATTTCAGGCCCTGGGCTCTATCCACTGTACCACCTTTGTTGCCCAATGATCAGATGAGAAAATTTTTGTAAAATGCTTACTTAGAAGATACTTAATAAATGCTTGTCCCTTCCCTTTTCCCATCCTTGATCCACAAATCTAGTCCCTTCTGCCTAGTGACTTGAAAAATATTGGAGCCCTGTTACCGACACTCTCTCCCATTTCAGTATAGTAACTCTCCTTCTTCCTTAGTAGCTACTCTTTTTTTTTTCAGTCAAAGACAAGGTTTATTAGAACATCCGTCATATTGGGCAGACTCTTAGGGAGTCTGAACATTAGTGAGCTATTGGCTAGATTTTAAGAATCTGAGCAATGGCTAGATTACAAGAATCTAAGCACCTAATGGCGACAAGATGGACCTTATATACAGAAAGACTGTGGGAGGGATCTAGGAGTGGCCAAGTAGTTTGGGGTAACTGGAAGGAGGGGTCTAAGGAGGATCCGGATGGGAGTGGCCAGTAGGTGAACAGAACTCTTGGGACCTGGACCATGTAGCCAAGGGAGAATAGAGCCTAGCTAGGATTAAGGGGCCATAGGGAGGTAAGACAATGGAGGGCTAGGCTAGGTTAAGGTTAACAGAGAATTGGGAGATTGGGTGTAGCCACAATGAAAGGCCAGTTGATAGGATTATAGCCTCAGGGGGAACTCCTGAGATTTGGTCATGTGGGAGAAAGTCCAGCGTTTTTCCTTTTTGGGGTCTACATCCCATCCTCATCATTACCCCCTCAAACAAATGGGACCCAAATTCTTTTGGAGTAAGGGGCAAAGATCTCAGCTTCTGAAACTGCTTTCTGCTGGTAAAAGAGTCCCAAAGAGGAGGTTGACTGGAACCGAGCACAGGCTGCATCCAGGGAATGGTGGGGGGACACTGGCTGGTATCTGCTGTTTGCTATCAATTGTAGGTGAATGGCCTGTAGTCTGGAAGGCACAAATCTGACAGAAAAGACTGCAGGGCCCAGATATGACAAGATAAAACATCTTTAGCTCTGTTTGGATTCAGATAATTCAGTTTTCCAACCATGCAGTATCAAATCCATCTCACAGCCAGACTTAGGAATAGTCAGGTGGGTAACATTCCTTTTCAAAGGAACATAATGGGGAAATTGAGCCAGGAGGATCCCATCTTAGACTGAGGCTAAAATTGTCCTCTCAGCTTTCCCGATGCTGACTTCCCACATGTATCACATTCTCTTGAGTAGTTTGTGGCATTTCTTTCAGATGGCAGATTATTGATTATCAATGGATTATTATGATCCATCAGAAAGCTCAAAATAAAGTCCTATGAGCTTTTACCTCACACAGCAAGTTTCACTCATCTTGACCTCATCCTATGCTAACGTGTGATTGCTGGGTCACAGGGGGGAAGCTTTGTTTTCTACAAGATGCCTTGGGTAAGCCTCAACATCTCTGTGCCTGTGTCCTTGCAGCTGCAAAATGAGGCTGAACCAGAAGACCTCTGGGGTCCTTTCATCTCTCTAAATCTACAATCCTCTGATCTTGATGACTGTGGCCAAAATGGGGGTCCCAATGAGCACCTAACATTTAGGGGCAATGAGTTAGAAGTTGTCAGAGCAAATGTGGGCATGATGCAAGGAAAAAGGGCAAGAGGGATCCCTATCACTGATTTGAGTGATTGTTGTTTTTCAGGCTGGACTTACTAGGGACATTGTAGAGGGGATTCCTGTTCAGATACAGGTTGGACTAGATGATGCCTAAGGTTCTTTCCAATTTAAGGATTCTATGAATTCCAAGCAGTTGTTATTTGCAGATGAAGGTAAACAGCTGTTCCTGATCCCTCTTGAGGGTAGAATGAGGACAGAGATGATGGTGGAGTATGAGGGGAGAGAGGAGAATTTGGCTCAGACACCCAGAAAGACTTCTAATGATTTTGAACCATCGGGCTAGGTGACTGAGAGTGATTATGCCATTATCTTTTTTGGGAGGGAGGAAGGAGAGAGAGAAGAGATTCTCACCTTTCTGGACTTGAGGGGTGGTGGTGGTATTGTCTCACCTTGAGGAAAGGGGATGAACATATGAACTCTGAAGGACCAGTCCAGTTCATGGGTGTCTCATATTAGTGATTAAAGGCTCACACAGTCCTACTTCCCCTCCCTAGGGACCCCTGCTTCCTGTTTGTCACCAGCTACATATAGAACCAGGAAAATGATCTCAGCAGTCAAGGTAGGGATTGGGGGGGGCGGGGGCAGGGAGGAGGGGGCTTAGACTAATCAGACTTTCTTTGCTTCCTCTCCCTGTATAGTCAGAGCTTGCAGCCCAAGTCAGCCGTGTTGTAAGGTGACCGTGATGAAAGTTTACAACATCTAGAGCAAATGAGAGGTGGAGCCAAGATGGCGGAGTGAAAGCAGTGACTTGCTTGAGCTCTCCCCCAAACCCCTCCAAATACTCATAAAAAATGGCTCTAAACAAATTCTGAAGCAGCAGAACCCACAAAAAGACAGAGTGAAGCAAATTTCCAGCCCAAGACAACCTGGATGATTGATCAGAAAGGTGTATCGTGCTGGGCTGGGAATGCAGTGCAGCGTGGGAGCGCAGGCTGCAGCAAACCTGGAGCAGGCCTCAGAGGACTGAATCTCACGCAGCTGTGGAGGTTTCCAGACTCCTCAATCCACTAATGCCAAAGACAAATCAGAAGGTCAGTGGGAAAAGTCTGTTTCTGTGGTGCCTGAGAAAGGAAGGCGGGTTTCAGCTCCATTCCCCAAGAGCGTGGCCCTGTGGGGCAGCTGCTTCCCGAGCTTCCTGGCCCACAGACTGAGGGGGAATCCAGTGGCTGATCAGAGAGGGATTGCAGGGATCTCTTTGCCAGTGCTGAGGCAGGAATCTCTTGCTTTGCCCGTGTTTGGATCTGGGCCACAGTTCTGGGCAGCGGTGCTGGGGTGAGGAGGAGCGCTGGCTTGGTGGAGCTTGTAGTGGTTGTGGAGAGGAGCCCCTCATCACAGTTACAGGACAGAAAGGAGTACTTGTAGTCGCAGGCCAGGAAAGGAGTAAACACCTTGCCCCTTATCATACCACCTTGGAAGAACTGAAAATTTACAGGTCCCTACAAGTATCTCTGAAAACAGCTGTACAAACCCCGAAGCTTGGGACAGTACATTCTCCACATTGGAAGCAGATTCGTACCTTAACAAAGAGTTTAAAACTCAAGTAATTGGCCGGGATCATGAGCAAGCAGCGCAAAAAGAGTCAGACTATATTATCTTACTTTGGTGAAAAAGAAGACCAAAATATACAACCAGAAGAAGACAACAAAGTCAAAGCCCCTACATCCAAAGCCTCCAAGAAAAATATGAATTGGTCCCAGGCCATGGAAGAGCTCAAAAATTTTGAGAAGCAAGTTAGAGAAGTAGAGGAAAAACTGAGAGTGATGCTGAAGGAG